ACCGTCCATGATCTCCACCCTAGACAGAGGAACGCAGCCGTCTATGGCAGGAAAGCTGCCAGCCTGACAACCAAAGGCCACATGCGAACCCAGGAGCAGGTTTGCATGAAAATCAAGTTGGTCTGGCAAGACCCCCAACCCTGAGCTTCTCTTCCCCCTTCCTCCTCCTTCCAGCTACCTCCTCCCAGGTTTCCCCCTCCCCTCTCCCACCCTCATTCCCACCCCAGTTTCAGTCAATAAAGAGAGTTTGTTTTTGGCAAGAAGTGTGTTTTTATTTGACATCAGGAAGGGGGATTAGGGAGGGGTAAGTGGAAGGAGGTGAGGGAGGAATGAGACACAAGCCCCCAGTGGGGCACACCATGGAAGCTCTTAGTGGTCCTCAGGGTGGAAACTCTCCTGCAGCCCACTGATGGACCTCTGGGATGGCAGCCTGCAGAAAGTGCAGCCAGGCTCACAGGAACACGTCCACGAGAGGCACCAGAGTGCCCAGGGGCAGCTCCGGCTCCGTGTTGCAGAGTGTTGTGGTGTCCCGTGTGAGGGCAACCAGAGCACGCAGAGACACAAATGCTTTGCTGTCCCTCATTGAGGTAGGCAAGCAAGCAGGGAAACCTGAGAACCGACTGCCCAGGGGATGGGGGGAGGTGTCCCTTTAAGCACAGGCATCAGACACTCCTGACTGATGCCCTGCCTGACCTGTTTCTGGCTGGCCTTAAATCCGATTCTGTGTCCAGTCAGTGTGGATGAAGTATTTTGAATTAGCAAAATGCTAATTTGAGCTGCATTTTGTGTGTAGACGCGTTAATTCGAATTAGATTAATTCGAATTAACTATTTTGAATTAAGATAACTCGAATTAACTCTGTAGTGTAGACATGCCCTGTGATTGGATAGGATTTCACCTGTAATTAAGAAGAGAAAATGTTTTACCAAACGATACCGCTATGTTCCTAGATCAGAGTGATAAGAAAATGGTTAAAAGGGAAAACTAATGAACAGATTCTGCAATCCTTCCTGCCCTTCCTTGCAAGCACACAGTTCTAGTACTTATCATTTACCACAGCCCCCGAGAAGGCTGCTTATTAAAATGTTGGCAGCACATTGCAGGCCTGCAGGTTGGTAAATTAGGCAGTCCCAAGGCTAGAAGCATTCTGTGCTGGAATGTTTATTCCAGGCTAACAAATGGATCCCAGATTCAGCAAACTGAATGAGAATTAAGCAACTGAAATCCTTTGAAAAACATTCTACAAGGAAGTTCCTCTACTAGACAGAATAAAAAGATTCTGGAAGAGAGACTGCATCTCTAGACACGACCACTATTAATACTGTTCTTCTTTATGCTCCCAGTAATCAAGTTTTTATAAGCAGGCTGAGCGAAGCTGCAGTTATTGCTCACCAGTTGTGCTTTGCTTCAGAGATGACGAACCTCCTGTCACTGTCCTCCTTTCTGAGCAACTTCCTTTTTTGCTGTGTCAAAAAGAGATGCTGAGCACTCCAGGACCAGAAAAACCAAGTCCTAAAGAAACCAATCTGAAGAACACCAAGCAAATATTCTGATTTATAGGTGGGATATGCTCACACAGATATCCCCGCCTCCCTCAAGCAGAAATCTGTTTGCTTGTAATTCACAAAGGAAACTTTTTTGTTTCAGCTGTTGGTAACTTCTGTTTGTGCTGCTATTGTAAATAGAAATGTACATTTACAATTTTCTGTTTGTACTGGTATGATTTTTAAATATGTTTCTGGTATAATTTAAAATCGTGCCAGCACAAATAGAAGCTAAAGTAAAGCTACCAGTCATATAATGCTCATATAATGTAAACCTTTGAAATGTGACTCAGGGTATGTCTACACTACCACCCTAGTTCGAACTAGGGTGGTAATGTAGGCAACCGGAGTTGCAAATGAAGCCCAGGATTTGAATTTCCCAGGCGTCATTTGCATAAAGCCGGGCGCCGCCATTTTTAAATGTCCACTAGTGCGGACTCCATGCCGCACGGCTACACGCGGCACGGACTAGGTAGTTCAGACTAGGCTTCCTAGTCCGTACTACCGTTACTCCTCGTTTCACATAAAGCCATTTCAGAAGGAGTCTACACGCGGCACGAACTAGATAGTTCGGACTAGGCTTCCTAGTCCGAACTTTCACATAAAGCCATTTCAGAAGGAGTAACGGTAGTTCGGACTAGGAGGGTAGTGTAGACATACCCTCTCTTACCTAATAAGAAAGAAAATAGAACTTGCTGCTAGAACATTGACTGCAGGGCTACTCAAAAAAGAGATGTTGTTCCCAGCATGGAAGGTAATTCCCCAAACTATTCTCTAGCTCTGGGATTTAAAAGCAAGCAGGTGACATTTAACTTTTCGTATATTGGCTTTATTTCAATGGGACTAGTCCTGTAAATAATTGCTGTAGCATGAGGCCCTGTGGTCCTGATCCCACCATGAGCTCTGCATGAATGCAAGGTATTCTGAAAGGGCGAGAGAGAGAGAGAGAGACTCAATTTGTTTACAATCTGTATGTTTAGGGAACAGTACAAATGAAGGCTAGGCCAACTGTTGCCTTTAAAAGATATATTGGGGCTAGATTTTTGTCATTTATCCTGAATGTAAGAAAGCAGTTTATGCTTTTTAACCAAGACGGAAGAAGTGCTCTGAACAGGGAGAAACACAACAGCAGTCTCCCTTTTCATGGAATGCTGCAGGCTCTGGACTTAGGGCCCTTAGTTTAAAATCTGCTCTACGACCTTTTTTAATGTAGAGTACCAGCCATCTGGTTCCATTTTGATTTAGGTGGAGTCCATCTTTCCTGCACAGGCTCCCACTTTCCCCATGTCTTCACATGCACATCACTGCATAAGTAAAATCAGTAAGCACTGGGTATTCTCTTGTGGAAGTGATTTTTTGTTTGTGGTAAAACTTCCAAGTTTCACCTTAAAAGGTCATTGGCAAATGCAGATATCCTTGTGGCTTTTGTGTAAAAAAAGGGACTATTGGCACTTAAATGGCAAGTGCAGATATGCCCAAAGAGTGAGCATCTTATCTGGAAAACAAGTAGTTAATGCAAAAACTGTTTAGTTTTATGGTCTTAATGTAGTCTGGAATCATTCTGTATAAAGGAAATTGCTTTAATATTGTAAATCAAGAGTGAGCTAAATTGTTCTGCAGAACATGTTCTTTAAGTGTGATGGAAAGTGAAAATACTGTGGTTCAAGCTATTTATAGTGTTTTCAATGATGTCATTGAATAAGTGTTTGCATTGACTTATTTCAAGAGTGTATTTTAAAACACGTACTACGTATTATAAATATATCTGATAAAATGTTCTATGCAATGTATTCTACAGTAAAGATTTATGTATAAGATTTCTTATTTGTTTCTATTTTTGATAACACAATGAGAATAGTAAGAAGGGGCAGATAGGTCTTTTTTGTATAAGAGGAAGGTTTTGTTCTTATAACACAAGGCAGGACATAAAAGAAAATGTTGCAAGTTATAATTTGAGACTTGTTCTTAATTAAGATGTGATACTAAAAGATAATATGGTAAACTGTGCCTTTGCAGGCTGCTGTAGCTGGGCACAGTTTAGAGCAGCCCCAAGGCTGAACTAGCACAGAGTCAAGAAGACGTACTATGGATGAGGCATTTGATACTGTCTTACATGATACTCATATCAATAAATTAGGCAAATACAACTTAGATGGGGCTACTATAATGTGGATGCATAACTGGCTGGATAACTGTTGTCAGAGAGTAGATATTAACAGTTCACAATCCTGTTAGAAAGGTATAACAAGTGGGATTCCACAGGGGTCTGTTTTGGGACCAGTTCTGTTCAATATCTTCATCAATGATTTAGATATTGGCATAGAGAGTATGTTTATTAAGTTTGCAGATCATATAAAGCTGGGAGGGGTTGCAACTGCTTTGGAGAACAGGGTCATAATTCAAAATGATCTGGACAAACTGGAGAAACGGTCTGAGGTAAATAGGATGAATTTTAATAAGGACAAATGCAAAGTGCTCCATTTAGGAAGGAACAGTCAATTTCACACATACAGAATGGGAAGCGACTGTCTAGGAAGGAATACTGCAGAAAGGTATCTAGGGGTCATAGTGGACCACAAGCTAAATATGAGTCAACAGTGTGACACTGTTGCAAAAAAAAGAAATGTGATTTTGGGATGCATTAATATGAGTGTTGTGAGCAAGACACAAGAAGTCATTCTTCTGCTCTACTCTGCTCTGATGAGGCCTCAATTGGAGTATTGTATCCAGTTCTGGGCCACATTTCAAAAAAGATGGGGAGAAATTGGAGAAGGTCCAGAGAAGAGCAACATGGTCTAGAGAACGTGATCCATGAAGAAAGACTGAAATAATTGGGCTTGTTTAGTATGGAAAGGAGACGACTGAGAAGGGACATGATAGCGGTTTTCAGGTATCTAAAAAGGCGTCACAAGGAGGAGGGAGAAAAATTGTTTTACTTGGCCTCTGAGGATAGGACAAGAAGCAATGGACTTAAATTGCAGTAAATGAGGTTTAGGTTGGACGTTAGGAAAAAGTTCCTAACTGTCAGGGTGGTTAAACACTGGAATAAGTTGCCTAGGGAGATTGTGGAATCTTCATCTCTGGAGATATTTAAGGGCAAGTTAGATAGGTATCTATCAGGGATCTAGATCAA